GTTCTCAAACACCCTCAGTCTACATTCCCCCCATGATGTCAGAGAACACATTTCACACCCATAGAGAACCACAGGCAAATTTATAGTTTTGTATATTGTAATTTTTACGTTCTTAGACTGCAGATGAGAAGAAAAGAGGTGTCACTTGTCTGTTCAGACAAAACTTGACAGTTTCTTCAATCCTGTGTTATTATGTTCAAAAACAAAGACGAGGGTTGGAACTTTAATAGTGACAACACTGCTGTAGAGATGCCATGCAACAGGACCAAATAATGTCGCTTATACCACACTTTAGTTATATGCCTACCTTACCTCAGAGCAAATGGACTCTCCCTTCCCACATCACGTGCGTGCGCAGTGATGAGAAGAACAGAGCCTCGTGTTAGCTGGTGGTCTAATGTAGTGTTGTCACGATGTTTTTGAAACAGGAACAACGGAGTTGGATAAAGATTGAATGTGCCAGAGGCCGTACAGCACAACAGTGTCATCAAGGTCTTCAAGAGGCTTGCGGGGAATCTACATTGTCTTACAGAACAGTGGCAAGGTGGGTAAAAGCCTTCAACGAGGGATGCCAAAATGTGGCAGACATGCATCGGCCAGGTCGTCCTAGTGTCAGTGAAGAAGAAGTGTATGCTCTTTTTGCGTTACCGGAGAGTGATCGACGCCATATGATTCGTGAGCTGGCCTGAGAGACAGGATTAGCGCATACGACTGTGCTTCACATTCTTAAGGAAAGCCTGGACATGAGAAAAATTGCATCACGATGGGTTCCGCATGATTTGACGGAAATGCAGAAATGGCTATGATACAACACTGCTCATAACCACTTGGAGCGCTATGAGCGTGAAGGAGAGGCTTTCTTACACCGTATCATTCCTCTGGATGAGACATGGGCCAAATTTTATGAGCCACAAATGAAACACCAGTCGAACGAATGGTGTCATTACAGGTGACCACGAAAATCAAACGTTCGTCAGAACCCCAGTAATGTGAAAGTTATGGTGATTCTCATGTACGACTGTGACGGTGTTATCCTAACACATACCGTTCCCCAACAGCAGACCATCAGTGCACAGTATTACTGTTCATTTTTGGAACACAATCTGCGACCGGCTTTGAGAAAGAATCAGCGACACTTTCTGCAGAACTCACTAATCATTTTGCAGGACAGTGCTCGGCCGCATGCAACGCAAGCTGTGGCTGATTTGTTCGATCGATGGGGCTGGGAAGTGCTGTACCATCCACCATACTCCCCGGACTTAAGCCCTTATGACTTCAACTTAATTCCTAAGATGAAGGAACCACTTTGTGGCAGTCATTTCAGAACTGTTCCAGAGATTCTTCAGGCAGTAGACCACTCCATTCAAACTATCAACACAACAGGCACTGTTAAAGGTATCCTACGACTTCCAACCCTCGTACAACATCTGAGTCTTCTACTGATGAATGTTGTCTTTTCCTAGATTTTGAGTAAAGGTTGTGCAGTGATATTTTTTCATTTATTTTCATTAAAGTTTCCATTTATTTGTGTTCTAAGTTATTTTGTCTCTTATAGCTACCTTTTGCGTGACTAATCCAGATGGCTTATACTTCCAGTTAATCCGGATTAGTGAGGGTTTGCTGTATTTTTACTTCAGTAAAGTAAGGTAATTTGCAAATAGTGGATGGGAGAGAGAAAATTGAAACTATCATTTTTGTCTAAAGTCATGGCCAGCTCCCAGTAATTTTAGCGCATGAATGTAAGTCATGGTAGCAGCTATAGAACTAAAGGGCACTGAAGTACCAAGAAAGGAAAAAAGATATAAAAGAAAGATAGTAATTTGATGTTTTACTGTGAGCTGGAATAGTTATCGTTCTCCATTTCTCTTAGATTGGCTTAAATTATATTATCAGTTTGTTTCTTTCTTCTCTTAAAATATCTGATTATTCTTGTGTCAGTGGTTTTCTGATAAACACATCTGACAGGGTAATATCCTTTTGTCCTGACTGATTCATAAGCAATGTGTCTACCCATCCTGAACATCTTAATTACCAAGTAGTGTATTGCCTGATTTTCTCACTCTACTTCCTTGTCTTAGCTTATATTGATAAAAAATCAACAGCAAAATGTCAGGGACTGTAAATCAAAAATAAATTGTGGCTGGGAAATTATATATATATACATATTTTATAATGACTGTTAGGGTATAAGAAGTGATTATAATATATTTTGNCGTTTTAAAATACTTTTTTAATTTAATTTAAGAATAATAAATACTTCAAAAGAGACATAAGAATAAATATTTTAAACATACAGACAGATTTATTAACAAGCAGTCTATGTCTACTATTATTAATAATAGTAATAGTAATAATAGTAAATACATAGTAAAGGCATAAAAATAGCCAGATAGATTTTTCAACAAGCAGTCCATGTCAACAATTATTAAAAAATTCTTGAAGAGAATAGAAGACATTACACAACAAATAATAAGTATAAATCTTATTTTTTATTGTAAAACATAGGATCTCAAAAATATATAAGGAAGTAACAGTTAAAATCTGATATGATATGATACCCTGTTCCCATTATATTTGTCAGCACTGCCAAGTCTTATAAATTGTTTGCCATTTTATGTATAATCTTATGTACTTTTCTCTCTATATTCTTTATCAACTAGTTTTCTTGTTGTGATGTTTTTTATAGCAATGAATTAATGAATGAGGTAGCAGACTAGAGGTGCATCTGACTGTCATATGGGAGGTACCAAATTTTAATTCCAGCTGAGGTCTTTTTGTGTGGTTTTCTACAGTCCCTCCAGTGAATTTCAGGAGTGTATCATACAGTAAATCATGACCATTCCCTTTTCATATCCTTTTCATTTCACCATGCATAATCATTTGTGTCATGTTGCACATATTTCTGTGGGACGTTTCTCAGATGCCCTAAGGAACTAAATGCCAATAGTTTGTAAACAATTATAATATTTCCTTCTTAGACTTTAAAATTCTCATGAATATTTTTGACATCCCTGGAGCTAATATTATCAGAAAATTGAATGTGTTAATGTAACATTTTCCGATGTTTGGCCCAGATTTGATTCATTGCTACTACTTTGTGGTATTGGAAACCAATTCCAGTAGGAAATTCTTTTGCTATTGTAAGTCCAAAGTTGTACAAGAAGTCTTTCAAATATAGGTTACAGTCTTGAGTATAACTAACTACCTTCATGGAACAGATTTCTTCTTTACAGGCTGCCAGTAATAGTCATTCAGACAGTAAAGAAATTCTTAGCCATTTATGGAACCCAAATATTCATTAGCATGTTCGTAAAAATCTGCCACTGTTAAAGTCTGTTGCTCTGTGTAACATTTGTAACAAGCTTCTAGGAAGCTTGCTTCCTGCTTCTTGCTGGATTCTTGCATACTTTACTCTTTGAGCCTGTAGGTGGAGGCACTAATGTCTCTCCAAAATGTCTTTTGATTTTTACTGGCCTACATGGTGTTATATCACAGAAGATGGAACTCTTCATAGCCACCACTGTGAGAACCCCAAATCCAACATTTAGAACATATTAGTTATTATGGTGAGTAGTAATTAGCTCCTTCCCCAACCCCTGATTCAAGGATCATGACTGGTTCAATACATTTGCAGCTACCCTCCATATCTGGAGGCTGTTTCCTCATCTACTCATACAGATTAGTAAGAGATTGATCACTGTTGTCACATACAGGTATGGAGCATGAAGGTACCAGAATTTCTAACACAGTGTGATTATAGTAATTCTCTTCAAGATGTGTAATCAATTATAAAATGTAACAGTGGATTTAAATGCTACTAATTGTAGAAAGACAGTTTTACTCTTTTAATTCAAACCTGTTCCACGTCAAAAGCTTAAAAATGTTCTTTTTAAACTGTCATTCCCAGTCTTTGCATCCAGAAATGTTCACATATTTTTTAGTGTCTTGGCCACTGTTGAAGACTTACCTTTCATAGACTGTAGAATATATGAGGCAGAATGACTGGTGAATAATGGATTGGAAAGAATTGAGGTATTGTCTTGGTATTTGCCTGGAGCAACCGAGGAAATTCATAAACACTTAGTCAGGCTAGCTGGTATCCCAGCCAAATTTTGAACCAAGTGCCATTCAAGTACATGCCTTTAGCACTACTGCTATACTAACCTACTCAGGTTTGTAAGCTTTAAATTACATCATTTGTATGTTGTTTAAATGATGCTCTTTCAGCTGCAGAAGCTATATAATAGCATCAAGTGCAGTCTGAAGATGCTCATATACAATGAATAGGTGGGGATCAGAAAGGAGGCAGTTGTGCACTATTTTAATATAGTAATATCTGAACATTTACCTGGAGAGACCAAAAAAACCATGAAAAAATCTGTCTTGACAGTAGTTGTAGGATTTGAAATTATCACAGTGGTGGTTATGAAGAGTTCTAGATTCTGGGATATAAAGCCATTTAGTCCATTGAAAATCAACCACCATTTTGGAGGAATATGTAGCCTCCATCTTCAGGGTTGAAGAATAAACCAAGCAAGAAACCAGCATGAAGCACATATTGCATTGTATCCCAGAAGACAGAACTCTTCATGATCGCAGTTGCTTGCTATATTTTAACCAGGAATAGAGGTCCAGAACATTGCCATACACCAATCTGCTTGTAGTTACAACTACTGTGATATTTATCAGGCTTAATGGCTTCAGCAACCCACTGCATTGGAAATGCATCACTATCACTATCACTATCTCTGCATTAAAATATTGTAATAACTCACCTCCCTTATGAGCTTCAGACACCATCCTCTGTGTGTGGAAGCAGTAGAAAGAAAGATCTCATTACATGCTTCTTGCATTATAAACAACTGAGGAATGGAAGAACAGTGTAATTAGTTTGTCCAATGTTACAGTTCACTAAACATTTGTCTGTTGTAACCTGTGTTAAAAAATGTAAGCATGATAGAAGTTGGAAATAAACTCTTCTTCTGACATACAGATACAGTTATTTCCTACTCTGATTGTAAAAATAACACTTGGAATGTTTGTTGTTGGTTATTCTCAGATGCCCTTCTGAGTACCAGTATTGCTGCAGTCCGCACTGTTGTATTGTCAATAGACAGCATAAGGAACTTTGGGAGACATGGTATTTTTGGTAAGTATAATTCATAACAAAGCATGAGAGAAGAACTTTATTTTCCAACAGAAAGTATGTTAACTATTATGACATAAATTTCATTCAGTTCATATCAACTGTGTGAAACTTGGATATGACATTTTTATGGGGGTGCATATTTATATTGTAGTTGTGAACGTGTGTTGTACCATGGATGGTTACTGATATTTTGAAGGAACTTCCTGCCTCCATTTACCCTCCATGCAGTCTCACAGGTTATTACCACTTTTCAGGAGAACCTGCTGCCTCTGTCTACTCTGAAGATGGAGGTGGCTAGGTCCTGTGAAACATTGGTAATCACCTACTGTAGTATATGGTGTCATAATCCAGAAGACCACAGTCTAAATCCATATTCCACAACTGTTTATGGGGGCTACCTGTTAAATTCAGATGTAAAGGTTTAAATATATCAGTATTAAACAAAATTTACAGAATACAAAATAACTGAATGTACTTGAATATAATTTTTGTTCATTTGTAGTAATGTATATGTGATTCTTACATCAGGAGTTGTCATATTGAGTGGGACTAGCAGCTCCTTGTAGCCAGCTGATCTCTTCCACATATTTATTATCCTTATTAAGTGACTCCGGTTTCAATGTTTTGCGATGAAGAGATTAAATCAAGACAGAACAATATGTGTTATTTAGCAAAGTTGCTATTTCAACAGCATTTGTGAAGATGAATTTTAAAATCGTGATCATCCCTATGCAAGTTTGTACAGTTGACCAGTTTAGAAATGTGTTTTCCAGTCTGTTCTGTTTCCATGCACCCTTTCTTCTTATAGTCTTCTCCAGATTATTCTTATGTACTCAATATCCCATCTCACTTAGTGACTCCACCTCAGCTGAGCAGACTGGTTTAGCAGTAACAATCTAGACTTCTACTCAGTAGGTGCTTCGTTTGAATCTTGGCTCGAATACTGGCTATCCTGACCAAGGTTCTTTGTGGTTTTCCTCAGTCCTTCCAGGAAAATGCCAGGATAGTACCTAAATTAGGCCAAGACTGTTTTCTTCCAAATCCCTTCCAATCCATTGTTCACCAATCATTTTACCATTTGGTACTGTACAGTCTAGATACTATATGGTTTGAACATCTATTTCCTTGTCTACATTCTCGCCCCGCCCCATACTTTCCCCTCCATAATTCTGATAGATAAAAATAAGAAAGTGATCATTTGAAGAAAGGCAGAATGTCTTTATGTAATTACATGTTATTACTTGTATTATTATTGTAAACACTACAGAGTTTTCATTTCTAATTTTCATTTCCTGCATCCTGTTGTGTTATTATAAAATTCTTTATTGTAGTCTGTCATAACACAACAATATAATGGTCAAGGTCATCATTACCTTAGCTACGTGTTTCAGCTTTTAAAGCCATCATCAGGCAAAACACATGATTACTATATTCACACACTATTGAACTGCAATTTCATTGTGACAGTAAAGCTGGATACTTTATAACTGTTTCATTATAAAATACATGGTATAAAAATATAATAAATCATAAAATTATTATAAAACAAAAGTTATGTTATAAAATATGGTTAAAAACTCTTCATGTGATATTGCAAATTATGAAGTCATTTTGTTGCAATCTTGTTGTTATATTCCGGCTGACATATAGCGGTATATTCAAGACTTGTATACATAGAGTAAACTGCTTGGAGGCCCGTGGTATAGGTGTAGTATTATTTGACATTGGCCGGTGCCTCATTTTACAATGTATTTTGTCCAGTCTGTTGGGAATAATGATTGCAGCTCAATTGTGGAGGTGAAAAAGAAGAAGCAATGAGAAATTAAAATGTTATGTAAATAGTCACACACGGTAGCATAGTTGGCTGAGGCACTATGCTACAAGCTGGAAGGTCACAGGTTCAAGTCCTGATGAAGTCATTGGATTTCTTTCAATTGACCTAATCCTTCCAGCCACACTATGTCCCTGGGGTCGACTCAGCCTCTTAACAGAAATGAGTACCAGGAATATTCTTGGAATCTTCTTGGGGGTAAAGGACAGCTGGTGCGTAGGGCTGACAACCTTGCTGCCATCTATGAGCCGGTTTACTAGAAAATGTGGGAACCTCAACATCTCACAATCCTATGGGCATCCACAGCCTGTTACAGGAATAAGTAAGTCACAATTTTATGTAGTGATTGTAATGTAAAAAATATGATAAATGGCCTGAGGATATTCTGAGCAAGAAACATGTTTCCTTGTCCATGGTTTATGCTGACCGTCTTACAGTGTATACACTTCTTCACCTTATTCTTCACTGCCACACTACATGTTTGAGCACTAATATGCCATCCTCAGGTGTCTTTATGCACGTTAAACTATTGTACTGCACGCCATGATGTTTTCATTCTAAAATGACTAAAATGTAACAAAAATATCTCAGAGGCCATATTGAAACCAACATAAGTGTCTTCTGTTTCAGGTTTGGAGCAATAGTCATTTTTTTATTTGTTCTTACATCAGCATTTTCATATGTGATTGGTTCCTGTAAACGCAGACAACAAAATCTGATTCGCATCAGAAACATTTCAACTCCAGCAGCAATTCCAGTGATTAGCACTATAAGTGGACCAGGGGGCATCATTCAACCAAGAGTTAATTACAAAAAGCCACATTCATCTTCAGTGCAAGCTACTGCAATCATTAGCAAGTGAGTAATATTTTCAATTCCATGATTGCCCAAGCAGACAGAGGCTCTGATCCTGAAGATGGGGTGACATGTTCCTCCAAAATGTCAGCTGACTTTCAATGGACTACACAAATTTATATCCCAGAAGATAAAACTCTTCCAAATATCGAGTTTTGTCACAATTTGTGAGCAATTTTGGAGATGAAATATGTAGTCACACAGATAGATAACCTCCATTATGCATTCATTTTGGGCACTTTATACAAAGAATGCATAAAAATTAGAAATAATGACAAATCAGAAGTTTCACAGATTGGTATACAGCACTATAGATGAAATGGAAAAGTACATATTAAAAATAAGCTCCGATAATATCCCTCCAAGAAATTATAAAACATCAACCCAAAGGAAGAAGATTCTTAAGAAATACCTTTAAAAAAGTTAATATTTTTTTAATACACAGGCAAACTTGCCCAATACTGTGACGAAGAAGATGGTTGTTTGAAATGTTTTTCGGTGTGTATATTTAAATATGATGTAAATAAATTTGTACCCCTATATAAAGCACTGGTTCTTTGCATCAGCATTCACCAGATGAATCTTGGACAACAATATTTAGTTTAAGCCTTGAATGCTAAGTTTTGTCAAAATCCTAAACTGGTTTTCAAGATTAAATATGTGACTGGACAGAGGCTTCATACAAGGCGGTCCTTATTTTATGTAGATGCCTGAAAACATGTAAATCTGAAATAAAAGTCTTTTCATGTAATAAAATCATGAGGACATGATTTCCCAAGAATCTGATATATAGATGTTGCTCTACATGTCTTTATGGTAGTTATCTTTCACAAACATTTATGTTTTTATGCAAAAAAGTTACTACATTTCATTCTTACATTAGTAAAGATTTTAATTCTGTTTCAGCTCTGATATGCATGTGGAAGATTTTGCAGGTCCTTTGGATCCCCCATATCCAGCAGTTCAACCGGTTACTATAGTAAGGGGCAATGTGCCTCCTCAGGGTTTTCGACAAACTACTAGCTATACTGAACTTGTGCTACCTCCTGGTTATGTTGACACAGAACACTACAAAAGACCATTTTGAGGTCCTTGTTTGTAACACATGTATTGTCTTCTTTACTATAAAGCAGAATTTATATTACTGAAAATTGAAAGAGCTTTATTTTTTTTTTCTGCCTGGATGTCTACTTTCAAGAGAAGATAGTGTACATCACATCTTGTTTCTGTATGATAGGTGTCCAACCTTCTAATCATACAATCAAATTTCATTATTCATACTAGAGGCACTTGCCTATGATGAAATTCGTATCTTTCCCTTCAGTATAATAAAAGAAATAAATAGATTGAATTATGAATATTTAAATTTATATGCGAAGGTTCAGATTTCATGATTAGTCACTTTTATTCAGATTTATTTAGCAAAAAGTTTCTAGGTAAAATTTAGGGGTAAAAATATGGTATTAATCCCCTCCCCCCATTTTCTTGTCCAAAAGTATGGAAGCCGAAATTACACTAGTAAGTACACTATGTCAGAGTTGGCTCTGATATTTGGGGTGTTGTGTTTTCTGCATACCTTACTTCATATAAAAATGTTGTGACATGAGAGCTGAAGCCAGAAAAGTGGAACAAATAAATGTGGCCATTGCCAGGCAATGGCATAGTAAACTTGGCAGTGGTCAAGCTTACGACCGTTCAAGTGACTAAGCTGCCGCTGTAGCATAAGATACATAAGATAGGCATGATCTGCTCTGCAAAGCCTGTATTGACAGAAAACTTGTGTATCATGCAACAGGAAAAATTTTTCAGTAACATGATATATGTCCAAAATATACACTTGACGAAAGGCCAAGCATATTCATACAAGAGAAACCCATCTCTTCATCAGAGAGGGTGTTACATAAGGATTATTACTCCAAGGATTCAGTTTTGGGGGGAAAAAATCTCTGGTAGTGGGTGTCATGGGGCTTGCCACCAAGAGAAACTGATTGGTGGTAAACTGCCAGTCATAGAGTAACTTTTACTCTGACTTTGACTTTGACTTTGACTTGAAGCCAGTCAATAGCATTTAAAGCAAATGTCATTTGGAGGCAGTGCTATGAGCTAAGTAAACAATTGCAAGACTTACATATAAATGTGGCTGTGCTCGCAGAGACACATCTCAAACCCCATGAGAGGTTCTTCATTCCAAATTATCATTTTAATCGGACTGACCACTTCCTGGGAAAAAAAAGGCATTCTCCATAACCACATAGACCTGTGCTATATACTCGTATGTGTGATACATACACTTGACAAAGGCCAAAGCTATTCATAAGAAAGATACCCATCCTCTCATCTGGGAAGGTGCTACATAAGGACTACAACTGCAATGGTTCAGTTGGGTGGGGGCTCTGGTTGTGAGCCTCAACTGGTTTAGTGCCAAGAAGAACTGATTGGCGGTATACTGTCAGTCATAAAGTAGCTCTAACTCTAATTCTGACTCTGACTCTGATAAGCCAGTCAGAAGTCAGAGTCAGTAGTTAGCAAGAGTCTTTTTTTGGCTAGTAGGGTGGGACTAAGTCCCTTGTACTGCAGCCACTTCTGGCCTATTGTACCAGCCCCAGATGATAGGTGAGGGTGATTGTGGAGCAATTGGTGGAATGAAGATTGGCAGGGGAAGCCGAAGTACTCGGAGCAAACCTGCCCAGCGCCAATTTGTCCACCACAAATCCCACTTGACCAGACCCAAGATCGAACCCAGGCAGCCACACTGGGAAGCCAGCGACTAACCGCTTGAGCTATGGCACAGCCTAGCTGACAGTATTAGTCATATTGTTAACTACTGTTACCTAAAAACAACTTATGATGACAGAATAACAAACAAAACACTTTATATGTGCTGTAATTGTAATGATCTACAGAGTGTAAATCAGTAAGACTGTTACAGTTACATGCAGTTATGAGTTACAAGCATCCAGTAAATTCAATTATCAGCCTAAACCGTGTGTCTGGTCAGTATCATGTGACAATATATTTTGAATGTTTTGAACATAATGATTACATTATTGTCTCCATGGTCGTAACACTAATTTCCACTTATCAGTATTATGTTTTCAGTGTTGAAAATCAGGAACTAAGTCAGCGATTCACAATGCTAATTGTTCAGGAATTAACAAATATGAAACATGTTTATTCCAAAATGAAAATGTCAGTATTATTCTAAAAATATTTAATAATTGTAATCTGTATATGTAAAATGCAGAACATATTGAAGATGACAGAATTACTTCATGTATTGTCATTGAAGAAAGGTTCAAACCTGCAGTGGCAGCTGAGTCGTAAGTACAGGGCATGTGCTGCATATTATGAAAAATAAACTATTTGCAAGGGAGACAATGTAAGGCATGCAATGTGTTTCTGTAAAGAAAATCCAGTTACAGTTGTGCCAATACAAATCATTTATAAGAACTTAAATTGTTTGTAGCTGTCAGTAAAAGGCATTGCTGAAAGAAGAATTGTTTGTAGTTGTATCAGACAAATTCTTAATTTTTGCCATGGCTGTACAAGTATGTATATGAATCTATGAAATTAAAGAGCATGATTCTTGTTTGTATGACAACTGTAGTTCCACAGCACTTGACAAGAAATTCCAAGCAGAATGCATAAAGCCTACTTTCCTACAGCATAGATTTGTAGTCAGATGTCAGATTTGTACCTAACATGTAACTAACTAACCAACTTCATGGAGCTGAGCCCTCCTTGAGAAGCTGCCAATTGTATAGCTTCAAGAACTTCCTAGCATTTTATGGACCACGAAGGTTCATTACCATGTTCACTAGACACCTCTACTCGTCCCTATCCTGAACCAGACTGATCCAGTTCATACCCCCCCATCCTATCTCTCTAAGATCTATTAGTATTGTCTGCCCACCTATGTCTTGGTCTTCCTAATGGTCTCTTTCCCTCTGGCGCTCTCACCAATATCCTATACGCATTTCTCTTTGTCCCCATTCGTGCTACATGCCCTGCCAATATCATCCTCCTTGACATCATTTGAATTATATTTAATATACTTAAGTTATGATGCTCCTGTCATTTCATCTCTCTTTAGTCCAAATATTCTCCTCAACACCCTGTTCTCAAATGCCCTCAGTCTACCTTCTTCCCATAATGCCAGAGACCAAATTTCACACCTATGCAGAACCACAGGCAAAATTATAGTTTTATATATTCAATTTTTATGTTTTTAGACAGCAGAAGAGGAAACAAAAGGTTCTGGACTGAGTGGTAGCAAGCAATACCAGAATTCAGTCTCCTCTTAATTTCCTCCTGCATCAGGTTTTGATTTGTTACAGTCATTCCCAGATATCTGAACTGTGCCACATTTTCAGAACATGTGTTACCTATCTTTACTCGTATGTCATGACTTTGCCCTGCATTCTGGTGATGAGACAGAAACATATACTTATTTTTCTATGTGTTTACTTCTAGACCAATCTCCTTACTAGTGTCACTTAAGAGTTATTTCGGCTACACCTTATAGTACCCCAAAATGTCCTTTCACATTGGGCAGCTACACCATATAGTACCCCTAAATGTCCTTCCATGTTGGGCCCCATGAACCTTAAATCTGTCACTGGAGTAGCCCCCAAGATGTCTCTGATCCAGGGATGGGCATTGCTATTGGGAGTTACTACCAGAAGCAATGCTACAAATAACCAGAGAGCATCAGTGGAGCCAGCATTAAATTAATGAAGCACCAATGGAGACATGGTTACCACAGACAATCAGCGCACTATGGACAGCAGACACAAGTGACCAGTTTGTCATTATAATTTCTATTACAGTACTTAATTCAACCCTGAAAATGGAGACTGCATATTTGACTGAAAGTTGGCATCCATCTACATTACTACACATTATCACAATCTGAACAATTGGACAGCAAAAATCTTAAAATTTATATGTGTGAGCTACAATTTCAAAAAATTTAATTCTATTGTAGGCTTTTATATTCTCGCAGGGGTAGTTATAAAGAGTTCTTTCTTTCTCTTTTACCTACTGCTTGCTTCATGCTGGTTTCTTGCTTGGCTTGCTCTTCAATCCTGAAGAGGGACTGACATGTTCCTGCAAAATGTCAGTTGACTTTCAGCTGACTACAAGACATTATGTCCCTCTAAGACAGAACTCGCCCTATTCTATCCTAAATATTTTATTTAGCATTGTATTCCTATCTAAGAGTAAAGGGTTATTTTCACAGGTTTTCGTAGACAACCATTTAGTTGACCAAATAGTAAAAAATACTGTTTATAAAATATCAGATTTAATTATATACGACTTTATATTTGTTTCACGTCATCCGTTTCCACGTTAGCGTAACACGCCTTAGTGTACATATTACACAGCATGAAATTCCTTCCCCATTCATATTACGAAATGGTGGGTTTGACAGATTAGTAATTTCAATCATATGTTGGTACTGCAACTTCATTGTCTAATGTCACTGAGTATGGCGCTATTTTAGCGCGTAGGTGAGCCAATGGGATCGCGAATCTTATGTCACGTGATATACGAGCCGAGGACAACAGAATATCGTAAATGACAGGAACGGAAAGTCTCAGAGAGTAGAGTAGTTGAATAAGAAGTGAGGTACAACCAAGGAGCGGACGTCGAATGGATGTGTGCCTGTGTTTGAATGTACAGCTGTCACTTTAATTACTACATATCATTAACTGCATAGATAAGAAACAAATTTCATTAATCTGTATGATAAAATGTCCGGACAAGGGTCGCAACGATTCCGAAAATCTTCACCCTGCTCATCATCAAAGCAAGGTCCAATGCGAGCAACATTACCTATGTCTTCGTTATTAAGGCAGGGCAGTAATTTAAGAAAAAGTAAAAGTAACAGCCCTACCTTATCGCCGACATCTGCGTGGAAAACTGTGATTTCACCGGACACCTCATTGTCTGGTCAGAGAAGCCCAGGATCCTTGAGTTATAAAGGTACTGGGACCTCATTTAAGTGTCAGAATAATCAGTTTTTATAATTACCGTGGCCCGGATACATTTGGGAAGAATTAGGTTGTTGCAATTCACCATTTGGCCATATTTTTCCTCGTAATTGTTTCATAAATAATGGTGCTTTATATTATCGCTTGCAACTGAAACAAAGAAAGTGTATGGAACCAATCGTTTAATTTACATGAAATCTCTTGTACATCGTTTCTTTATCTCCAAAAGTCATTTCTGTGCAGTTTCGTAACTAACGCACTTTAAGTTGGCCCGCAGTTCGAATAATTGGCAGTCCTTAACAGTGTCCTATAAATTTATGTATGTGCCATTTTACACTGAGAAGAAAATAATCTGTGAGGGAATTTGAAGTATGTTATTTGTGTTGCTTTGATTCTTTCAGCAAAATCAAAAACTCTAAATTCTCGATCAAGTAACAGTTTCAGTGGGGGCAGTGTGATACGCCGCACAGCCTCTTTGGATACAATTTATCTGAAGGGTCAGTGGCCAAGAGAGAAGTTTTACATGTACTGTGGACATTTACTGGTTGACAAATCAACACAGGTTAGTTGAGAACACTGTGTAGTCAGAGTTCTGTTATTGCTATGTGAAGCTAATGATTTATTCTTCGGAAATATGTGGTAAGAAGGTGGTACATAATAGAGTAGGATCAGTGTGGATCCAAAATCTGCAATATTGGTTAGAGTGCCGCATTCATTTTGTAGCTTGGGGAATCCCTCCCCCACTTTGTGCAGTAAAGAAGTGATATTACTGCTAGGGTATGCTGAGATACCAGATTGTGTTCATTCACTATGTATTGCAAAAAATATTATACCAATTGTGTCTTTTGATTGCAATTTATGTAATCTTGGGAGAGCATGTACGTCTAGCTGATGAAATGTATATTGTATTTGTGAATTCATTTGTTAGGAAAAGTTATCCATTACACTCATGTTACTGTATAAAACAGAATCTTTCCATTTGCCCTCATTTTTGTTGTAGATCAGTTCACCTGATGTGCCAGTGGAAATTAGTGTCTTCTGGGATGTGATACCTTATAGTTTGGTAGATAGGTACAAATGTTTTGGAGGAAGATAACTATCTCCATCTTCAGGTTATATGTCCCAGAAGACAGTAATCTTCATAGTTACCACTGTGAGAATTTCAAGTCTGAGATGCATAAGTACTACTTTCGGTATTATGTTTGCCTATTAGTGCATTCAAATCTCTCATTAGTACAAACATTTCTAATTTATTAACCATATGCTATTTTTTGTAATAATTTGTAAATTATACACCAGCTTTTTTTATATATATATTATTAAAGCATATATATTTAATATGTGTTGTGAAATCTCTTTGAAATTTTGAACCATGCTTCAGTTACATATTCATTCTAGAAATGTAGTTGTCTCTAGTGGATTGGATTATTGTTTGTTATTAGCATTATGTCCCATCATTTCTTCTTATGGTGTAATAGAACTGGATGTAATTATTACTTTCTTTTGAACCATTTCGCTGGCCACCTCTCCACCAGAAATTGTTTTGGATTTTTGTATTTTGCTTCCCAAATATATCATCTCAGAATTTTTAAAGTAAATTCCAAGTACATTCATCATATCAGTCATATTTTGTGGCCTTCTTTATATTCGTGTTGGGTCAATTTTGATTTTTGAAACAGACCTTGGGTCAGATTGTATTTGTGCTCCACAGTGCATACTTGGAAGGTGTGTTGCTGTAACATCTGCCATAATCCTGTGGAATATTGTGCACATATTGCTTTGTCTGCAGGGTATTTTTAGCAAGTCCAGTTTTCATCATTGTCCTATGGAATGCATGTTTGATTTTGAAAATGGTTCCAACACTGAAACAGTTCCCAATGTGTTGACATTTTTTTTAAATATTACTAACATATGGGATAATGACTGTGCTATGTTATGGCCTGTCTGAAAAAGGATGGTTTCATAATGCAGTCAGTGAATTATGATGATGTTTTATGTTCATAGTTTCCCTGTTGAAATCTTTCTGATCCTGACACAACCTTAGCTGTATTGATGAAGTTTCTCTGACATTAAGGGAGGAACATAGACTGAGGGTGTTTGAGAACAGGGTGCTGAGGAGAATATGTGGACTGAAGAGACATGAAGTGACAGGAGGTTGGAGAAGACTGCATAATGAGGAGCTTCATAACTTGTGCTCTTCTCCAAGTATAATTAGATGGTCAAGTCATGGAGGATAAGATGGGCAGGGCATGTAGCATGAATGGGGGAGAAGAGGAATGCTTATAGGATATTGGTGGGAAAGCCAGAAGGAAAGAGACCACTGGGAAGTCCAAGACATAGGTGGCTGGACAATATTAAAATGGATCTTAGAGAGATAGGATGGGATGGTAATTATTGGATTGATCTGGCTCAGGATAGGGACCAGGGGAGGGCTCATGTGAACACAGTAATGAACCTTCAGGTTCCATAAAATGCTGGGAAATTCTTAAGTAGCTGCAGATTTGGGGGCTTCTCAAGATGGGCTCAGCTCCATGAGTAAGTAAATAAGTAAGTAAGTATTGAAGTTAGACTTGGAAGGATTCTGACGATGGTGTATACTGTACTTCTTTTGGCTTGTTTTGGACTTCATCCATCGTCTGGTATGTAAAAGACAAAAGACCACGACGTTTCAGAGACTTAATCTGTCTCCATCTGCAGGTGTGTAGGGAAGGATAAACCTACTCAGTTGCGCCCGTTAGAAAGAGCTAGTCTAGTCCAGTGATTGAGACTAGCTCTTTGTAACGGGCCCAACTGAGTAGGTTTATTCTTCCCCACCCACCTGAAGACAGAGACAGATCCATTCTCCGAAATGTCATGGTCTTTTACATACCAGACGATGGATGAAGTCCAAAACAAGCCAAACAAAGTAAAGTAGTGAAGTGATGAGTGACTCCTCTTTTTGTGTATTGGGGATGGTCAGACTGGAGATATAAATAACCTGTATGGATAGTAGGCTTCCAGGAGTCAGACTAGCCTAGTCAGTATAGCAGTAGGCTAACGGCTGGATGGCTGGGGTTTGATTCCCGGGAAGGGCAATATTCTTCTCTTCTGCACAGTGTCCAGACCAGTTGGAGCCACACAATATCCTAGCCTATGGGTATGGGAGGGGGGAGCGTGATGTGGCGTGAAACTGACCACACTTCCATCTAGTGCCGAGGCCAAGAATGGTGGAGCTATACCACCACTCTCCCATGTGTCTTCATGGCATAGTGCTTAAGTAATTAAGCACAAGGAGAACTTGACATTTTATTGGTGGGTTTCTTGGACACTTTCACGGTTAAATTAGGATCTCTCTTCATGACCAAGATGTCCATGAAAGGAAGAGTATATCCACTTCCAATATGAATTTCATGATATGTCTGAGGCTGTTGAGGTGGTGATAAAATTTTTGTAATCTTGGCTGGTCCATGGAGCCAAACCATGAAAGTACAAGGTGGTTCAAATATGACCGGGATGAATTTTTTTTTAAAAACCATAATTGCCAAACACTTACTTGCACATATCAGTCTTCAACATACTCCCCTCCGGAGTCAACAAATTTTTAACAACGTTCTGGAAGCATCCTGATGCCATTTTCAAAAAGGTCTTGTGGTTGGTGGTGTATCCACTCCCGAACAGTCTGGATGACGGTGTCGTCCACAAACCACATGCCTTGCAAGTCTGATTTGAACCTTTCAAACAGGTAGAAATCACATGGGGCCAAATCGGGACTGTATGGCGGATGTGTCAGGAGGTTCCATTTCAATTTCCGGAGGGTTTCCATTGATGTTTTGGCCATATGGGGGTATGCATTGTCTTGAAGGAAGGCTACCCGCTTTCCACCTGTCTTCTGCTTGGATCAGAACTCTTCCTTCACTTTCACCATGCACTTTGACAGACGTGAACAAAATGGTGCGCATACAAGCTGCCAGTCATCTCTTACAGCAGTTTGAAGACGAAGGTGATGCATTTTTTAAGTCTACAGTGACCACCGATGAAACGTGGGTTCACTACTTCATTTCCAAGTCCCAGCAGTCTACATGGATAACCCTCTACCAGTCCCAGAAGAACGTTGCCATCACTTTTCCTGCCGAACGGCTCCTCTGCGTTCTCTTGGGTTTGGGAGAACTGGTATGCCGCCACTTGCGTGATGACTGCTGGGACTTGGAAATGAAGTGGTGAACCCACGTTTCATCGGTGGTCACTGTAGACTTAAAAAATATGTCACCTTCGTCTTCAAACTGCTGTAAGAGATGACTGGCAGCTTGTATGCGCACCATTTTGTTCACCTCTGTCAAAGTGCGTGGTACCCACCGTGCATTCACCTTGCGATAGTGCAGGTGGTATTTCACGATGTCTTCTACACTGCCAACACTGATGGACAGCATTGCTCCAAGTTCCGTGATAGTGATGTGCCTATTCTCACGAATAAGCTCCTCTGCACGATCAGTGTTTAGCTCAGTGATGGATGTTCGCAGCCAACGATCATGCGGTTCATTCTCCACGCGCTCTCTGCCCGCTTTGAAGCGCTTACACCACTCAAACACACGGGTCTGTGAGAGACACTCTTACCCATACTGTTCTTGGAGTCTGGTGAATGTAAGCAGACGGGACATTTTCCCCGAGGAATTTGATCACAGTGTGTTGTTCCATGCTCCGCGGTACCTTCTGTTCACCCATCACTCTAGCAACTCCCAGACAGGACTGAACAGGAGGGAGGGTGGAGGTTGTGGCTTCACACTCTCAAAGTCGCACAGCTGCTGCGCAGTGCGGGTTGTTTACACACAGACCAGTCCTGATCATATTTGAACCACCTTGTATCATTGGCATATATTAGCCAATTAGGAGGTTTGTGGCCTACTGTATCCAGTGCTGTTTTCTCAGAGTAGTCCATAAGCATGTTACTGATCACTGGAGAGCGTGAGCTTCCCATTGCCTTTCCCTCTTTTTGCTGATAGAATTTATCCTCAAACTGCAAGTACAGCAAGCCCTCAGAAGTTCAGACTAATTGGGAGCGAACCCTGGGCAAAATCAGTGGAAGTTTGAATTGTGGAAGTGCTACTGAAAATATGTTCTGGGAGTTACAAAATGTACTTCACGTGTCTTCTTAGGCAATAGAACTTTATTTTGAAACTTAGATTGCATATCATAAAATAAAGTTAAGTGTCAAAATATATAAAGGTGTAAGTTTTAACATAAGTCTTAAAACATTTTATGTAGCCTACATATTATTACTGAGACCATGTTTAAAAAATGAACTTATTTTGGTTTTGCGTTCCACTACATCTTGCTGATTGTGGCAGTGTGATCATCAGAGTTGTAATCCACAGAAAAACATTTGGCCAAATTATTGCAAATTCTGAAGAAGTCCCTAATAGTGATTCTACACTGTACATAATTTTAAACACATGCCCAGAAAGTCCATGGTGTTTCCAACCTGCAAAGATGAGCATTCTGAGGAAGAACTTTCAGATAATTTAAATTGTACATATTATAATAATAAATTTAAAAGTAATAATATTATTAAAATTGCTGCAGCGTGAAAGTTGCACGTAGAAGCACTGTGATGTTGAACACTGTATAATCTTTAGTTTAAATGTGCTTGCCTAGCCTTCTAAGATTCACCAGCAAGAGTTCTGTATAGTATATATTTAAAATTACATGGGTAGAGGGACCTAAATATTTATAGTTACTAGGTATTTGTGGGGGTACATGGTAGCATAGTTGGTTCAGGCACTATGCTACAAGCTGGAAGGTTGCGGGTTCAAGTCCTGATGAGGTCATTGGATTTTTTTCAATTTACATAATCCTTCCAGCCACACTATGGCCCTGGGATCGAGTCAAGCCTCTTAAGAGAAATGAGTACCAGGGATCTTCCTGGGGGGTAAAGGGTAGCCAGCATGTAAGGCTGACAACCTCAATGCCGTCTGTGGGCTGATTGTCTAGAAAATGTGGGAGCCTCAACGTCTCACAACCCTATGGGCCTTTACGGCATGTTACAGGGATAGCTTTACCTTTTACTAGGTATTTGATGTGTAATGGAAATAATTTGTCTTACTGTTCACTGTGAGCTTTGTTATTGTCCAGTTGTTCCTGCCATGTTTTATATGTGCTGGATTGCTTCTGTACAGTACAGATGTCCACTTGGATCTATAGTATGGTAATATGCAGTGTATAAGAAATTCAGGAGCAAAATGTTTGCCAGTTGCTATCTTAAATTTAAAAGTGTAATTAGTTACAGGGAGAAATTTTGCTTTTGTAGGATTTGAGGTTCTTATAGTGGTGGTTATGAGTTCTGTCTTGTGGTAGATAATGTTTTGTAGTTTGTTGAAATTCAGCTGGTCTTTTGGAGGAACATGTTACCCCCATCATCAGGGTCTAAGAATAAGCCAGAGGCAGGGCTCTGCTTGCTGTCTGCTTCATGCTGGTTGTTTGCTTGGTTTGTTTGATGCTGAAGATGGAGGTGACATGTTTCTCGAAAACATCAGTTGACTTTCAGTGGACTATGTAGTGTTGCATCCCAGAAGATAGAACTCTACAAATTTTGCAATATTTTCAGAACTTTTTCTATCTAATACTAGTCACTATATTTATGTAGGTACTGAGGAGTGCAGTCACAATTGTCTTCTATTTAAGCAATTCTCAGAATTGACATACTTTATTGTCTGATGTACTGAGGAGTGCAGTCACAGTTATCTTCTATTTAAGCAATTCTCAGAATTGACATACTTTATTGTCTGATGTACTGAGGAGTGCAGTCACAATTATCTTCTATTTAAACAATTCTCAGAATTGACATACTTTATTGTCTGATGGAAGTTGCCCAGTGTACAGTTTGCTTTGTATATTATATGTTCACCTGTAATAAAACTCATGCTGCCATCTGTGTGAATGAGAATGTGTCTCCTCTCTAGATTATCATGTTGTAACTCCTGTTACATTTTCCAACAGTTCTGTACTGTGCAGTGTGACCATATTCATGTCCAAACACACAGTGGGATATTCTTTGGAATGATATTTAATGATTATTCTCAGATGGCAGGCCCTCCATGCAATGACATGTCCTGTACCATTGTTACAGATATATTTTTCCTACTTTCCTTAAAACAAAATTCAGTTTTGTAGATTACCTTTCAAAGTGCCCCTCCCCCACATTAAAGTTAACTGCTTCTCATGCAACAAGCAGCATCTTCTTCAGGGTGAACACTTTGTGCTTCAAAGCATGAAATGAGTGTATTTATTGTATGATACACTGTTCCTTATTGTCAACAGTAATTTTTTGTAGCCTCGGGTTGTTGTTCACTGGTGTCAGGAGTATCTCTTGCACTTGTGTTTCACAGGCTTCTCCTTTTAGCTTTCTAACCAGAGATTATGATCTCCCTAAATGAAGAGGCCTCTTTTTATTTTGTAAAACATATTTGCACACTTTGCAGCTCTCTTNACCACACAAATACAATAAATATTTTTAATGTAAGTGTTAATTTTGAGAGTTACCAGACTCACTGTCACTTTGCAGCTCTCTTCCTCCCTTTGTTAGCTGGAAACATGCTGTTTCTGTTCTCATCACAAAACAATGTACCTGTAAGAAGAATGTTCCTTTCATGACTGTGAACCGCATGGTTCTTCTGGTTAATNGCACACTTTGCAGCTCTCTTCCTCCCTTTGTTAGGTGGAAACATGCTGTTTCTGTTCTCATCACAAAACAATGTACAGTGTAAACTGCTAGATGATGACCAATAAAGATGGGGGTATGGAAGAGGAAGAGGATGTTTGTCCCAAGAGCAGGAGTGAAAGCAGTCTCCACATATAGCCCGCATATTTTTTTTAGGTTTTATAGCCATCTGTCATGCAGTCTTTTCTTTTGATTCTAAATGTATCGAGGCTTGTAATAATAGATTCTTCATTGATTTTTCAGACTGAGGAATGGACAAGTGAACAAAGAAAGTTGCATCGGTGTCAAGACTCTAGTGGAAATGAAGATAAATTGGAAAAATATATAAGACGGTATGTTATATCCTCAAACAGATTACTTGTAAATATTTATTGTTTGTTGAATTCCATTGTCAGTTTACATTAATATGTCAGTGGGCTGAATCTAAATTACTGTGTAATTCAGAAAGATAATTTCCTCTTTGTTACATCATTCATAAAATCAAGACACAGGATATAGAAAATGTCAGTTCATCTCTCATGTTTAATGGGATCAGTGAATGCACTCACTTATTTTAATTGTAGTTTAATCAGTTTTCATATTCATGGGCCTATGAAAGCTGCTTATGGCATGTTGGCTCCTCAAAACAGAATGAGATGCTTACAGAACTTAAGACCAGAATGTCTGATCATTTGGTGAAAATTCAGGATTAGTGGCTAGGCATGCCTTTTCCATCACATCCAATAAGCAGACACAAAACACTGCTTAGTGGTTTCAGTTTTATGATGTGCAGACTTTTGTATTGAAGCATTCTGCTATGTATGATATTTTTCTCTGTCTACATGTTAGTTATTATGCCATTGTTCACCCAGTAACTTACATCTGTATAATTACTAACTTGTGTGGATGAAAAATAAATGCTGTATTTTATGTCAGTACAATGCCTACAGATTTTTTCCATTTTTCAAAAGGCACCTCACCAGTAAAGTAAGAGAAACAGCATTTCTGGTAGAGTTCTTTTCTGTTGACACACTTCTGTAATGTTATAGGTGTGTTTTGCCTTATTGTGTTGCCAGATCTTTCTACCTGTCAGTGTAGCCAAGACTCAAAAGAAGGATAAACATGATGCTGGTTCATAATCCCCCTCCCTCCCCTCATAGGTTAGACATTTGTTTATACTGGACACAAGTTTCATCTTCTGAAATGCAGTTTCACAGTTCTTTTTTAATTTTTTAAAAGAGTTTTATATGAAGGTCAGAACTTCAAACAATTTCAGATATATGTATAAACTTGCACAAATAGATTTCTTGAGAAAAACTACTGCTGGTCCCCAAAGTTTACTTTTGTGACTTTCTATATAAAGGAGATATTTACATATTTGCACAAAAAAAAAAAGGAGGCCTATTGCATGCCAGAAACTTTTCTGAATTCATTAGTTAATATCTAAGATTTGTTAAGAAAGAAGAACTGGAATTTTGGAAAAATTATTACTCTGTAATTATATACAAGTATAATAAAAGGCTTGAAAAATAGTAGTGGCATGATTGAAATATGATTAAGTTTTCTTATTTGGAAGCATCCTAGCGTCTACTTAACATTTTTGACATAAGAATATTCATGCTTGAGGCTTAGCATGTGAACATGCCATCAACTTGATTATAAGATAAACCCAACTTTTTAGAACCCATAGAAAAATTCACAGCGTATTAGTGAAAGGCGGTAAGGTGATGGGTTTTACAGCCTAATTATTAATAAGAAACACTGCATTAATTAGGTCAATAATGTGATTATTTTTAGTACTTTCCTGTATATAATTTTGTCCTATGATGAAATCCTATTTCACACTGGGACATGTTATAATTTTTAAAATTCAGGCTGCAAGTATATGTACCTGATACAGTGTTCCTGCTCCTCTGGTCTGATGTGTAGTTCAAGAAATTCAGTGCTCCATTAATATGTATTGTAAGCAAATAAAATTACAGGTAGGAAATGCAAAAAAGGAACAAACTTCAATGCTGATCTTACAAGAATTGTGAAGTAGGTGTAATGATAAGTACTAACAGCAAAGGGATGTGAAAAAACATTTGAAGCTCCACTTGAAGCTATATTTTGAAAATGTCTGTACTCATCCACCTACCAGTATTATGTGCCATATGTACCCATTAAATACCATGTAATTTATGGAAAATGAATACTGTATAATTTCAGATTATGTATTCTCAATACATGATATAGAATCCAGTTTTTAACATGTTTTCTGTATATTACTTTCTCTTTGTTGACTCCATGCTACATAATTGATTGATCACCTGCCTTGTTATTATATATTTTCTTAACCCTTTGCATGCCATGTGTTGACTAGATTGGCTCAGGGTACCTGTGTTAATGCTCACACAGCTGAAGAGGTCAGCTCATTGTTAAACAATTATTACATCGTTTCTCTGAATAGACAGACTCCAGCATAGTATATGTTTAGAAGACAGAACTGGCTTTCATATGGTATATACATGCTGTAGCTTGAAAGTCATTTGGTGAATGTTTCTGTTCAGCTGCATTTATTCAGAGGGTACTTGGGCATTTTAATCAGGTCTGTGCTAGGGCCTGGGAGTCAGGATTAATATCTTCATTTATGTTTGATGTCTTGAAGAGAAACCACCAATTAACTTAGGGCATGTCATGCGTTAGGTTCCGGCCTTTTCATTTACTCTTCTTAAGCAGAGATGTTGATGTTCCTTCATGATCTGTGATATATTTTGAGAATGCTCCATATACATGGTGCAGATTGCAAAGAGCAAACAAGGACAGTCCCAGTAGCCGGGAGCGAACAGCCGCACTTGGCCTGATTCTTCAGCCCACTGCCACAATGCCAGCAACTGTGTCCATACCTTCAGCTGCACTGACTATACAAAGTGGAGGGGAATTGCAACACAGTGGAGTGTTGCTGCCCAGCACCGGCACAAACACAACCTCTTCCTCCTCCGCCTCCTCGTCTTCATCTACTTCATCAGCCACTGCCATGGGTGAGTTGGTATTCTTTTGGAATTGGAGTAATGGTATGAATTTGAAATTCTTTTCTTTAATCATACAAATACATGCACTGAATTCACAGCAGAATGAGTATAGCTTATAATGAGGACTTCATTATAGCGTCAAAAATCATTGGAACCATCTGTTTCTTAACGTTGTACTTGTGGAAAACCAGTGCATAAAACCAAGGCTTTTTACCTGAGCAGACTATCACTTTCCCTGTCTTTCATAAATATACATTTGTGAAATTCGTTTTGTAGTCTGTCTGTAACAGTGTGATCAACATAATGAAAAGAGATGTCATAGGCGTGAAACTACAAATGATGCAGATTCTATTCAGACATCTTATGAGAATGGTTTTTATTACCTGTATGGTACTAGAAATGTGTTATCTGGCAGATAAATTAACAGTTATGGATTCATGTACAGTTTACATGCCACTGCCTTAACACGTGTTTTACAGTTAAGCATAATGGCTGATTTTGCAGTCATCAGTTACTGGTGTAACATTGAAAACTTGCTTGTATTCCAGTCGTGACATTTAGAACTCATGATGCAGTGTACATACATAAGTCTCAGTGCACTTCTTCATGTGTTATGCATGTTATTCAAGTTCAGTATAAACTGATGCATTTAATCTCACATGCATGCACATGTGATGCAAATTATGAGTGGAATATGTATAGGACTTGTGAGTATGCAGCAAATTGTGACCAGAATATGTATAATCCATTTTTGTGGACATGAGGAAAATAGTGAGGGGCTTCAGGTTGTAAAGGTTCCCTTTTGATTAGTAGTTGGCTGCAAGTAAAATGTTCAGAATTACTGTTTTTTTTTTTTTTTTTGGATGTTTTCCATTGTCCAATTTTGCAGAAAGTAGAAAACGTGGCATATCAGAAACTGGATCTGTTTCTGCCCTCAGGTGAGGGGGGGGGAAGACACTCATTTGGACCCCCTAGAAAGAGCTAATCTCCTGTGATTGAGATCAACTCTTTCCAAGGGCCCAACTGAGCAGGTGTCTTCCCCCCCCTCACCTGAGGACAGAAACAGATCTGGTTTCTGAAACATTGTGTTTTCTGTTTTCTAGAATACTGGACAATTGAAAAAGTCCAAAACCCAAGTAATTCTGTGTGTTATACACCATCATCAGAACCTTTTAGAATTAGAATGTTCTTAGTTATTTTCAATTTAATTTATTAATCACTACAAAGAAGAAATATCACCATACCCACATCATTTAAACCTTGATGCCATATTGTGTTATATATAATTTAGGTTTAGGAGATGTCTTGTAGTTACATATTTAAACAATTTGTATTTATTTAGTAAAGTATCATGATATCAGGGTTCCACTTCCATTTTTATGCATTTTTTGCATGAAGAACATAATGACCACCATACCGGGTAGGTAATGTCAATGCATCCATGTTTTATGTACAAACCTACTGAACATGTGTGAATGAGATTTAGTATTTGGGCAGTATGTACTAGAAATTATAATGCAGTTTTAAGTTCTGTTTCATGTCGATCCCCTACTTTACGTGAGCCTCAAACTGAACTATATGTTTTCTCAGAAAAGCGTATGATAACAGAGATTGATACATGGCATAGAATATAGAGCTCATTAAGATATACAGCTTTCATTTGAAATGTTTTGCAGTGAAGTCTGTAATGACACTGCAGCATTAGCATTTCTTTTGCAATAAATGAACACCAGGACTACTGAGATAAACACAAAGTAATAGGTAGGCCATTTGCAGCATGTGTATCACTAGTTGGACACCTCTGAATTCATGCCACATACTTCATGATTGTTCATGTGTCAACTGAACTCTTTCGCAACTGTTAGTGTAAAAATTATTCAGTGTAGACAGTAGGCATATGTGACATCCAAATTAAATGTCTTTGGAAAATGTTGTGTTTGTGCTTTGAGAATGAAACGTTAGCTTGGAATATGCTGTTATTGGTAACAGTTTGGTAGGCTTTGGTACAGTTTGCTTTTACTATGATGATAACTGGACATTCTCATGTTACACCATTGTTATTCTTTATTCACTTTGATTCCCTGTTTTTGTTTAATAACGCCTTTCTTGTAGTCAGGGAGTTTTCACTTTGAATTGTGACTAGGACTGTAGTTTTCCTGACAGGGTTTGAATAGTTTCCCTGCTCCTTAAGCCATGTGCTGGGGTAGTACCTTCAAACAGGCCTTGATAACTTTCTTCTAAAATGTTTTTTGACTTAGCACTTTTTGTCATGTGCATGTTTCTCTTTATGATAATGACATCCAGAGCTGACACATTTATTAAATAATCTGTAATTCATAATACAGTCTTTTACTCTTTATATTGGGCTGTCTTCCAGGTGCATCCCACTCTAAAGCAGTCCCAGTGAACATTCCTGTGAAACCATTGGTGCCTCGACCTCCCATAAGGAACTCAATAGAAGGGCTTAACCAAGAGATTGAGAGGCTGGTGCTCAAATCAAATGGAGCTCAAGATACTGAGAGAGAAGAAGAGAAGGTTGGGATGTATTTTTTATTTCAAGTTTGTATCACGAAGTTGTCATTATACGGTCACTCCTGATACAGTAGAACTACAAGTCATTTCAGCCCAATTTACATCCTCATAACCTATATCTCTGATGCTTTTTAATATCATATTGCCATCTTTTTCTTTGCTTGTTTGTATGACTGCCTTCCAGGAGATTTCACCATCAGAATCACAGTAGTCATTTTCTTTATGTTATATTTGCAGACAACCTACTTGAATTAACTGCTCTTTGCCACTTTATTTTCAGGCATTTGTCATTTATTTTTCTCTCATATAAGAGACATTGTACATTGTGTTCAAATAAGACAACATTTTGGAACTGATTTATAACAAGTATTTTTTGTATTTATTCTTGCTTTAACTTCATTGTGGGTCTTTGTTTTCATGTGTTATTGCTTCCAGGTATATCCTTGAATATCACATTCGTATGACTGAATAAGTAGGACTTGTACACCAATCGAGGAAAGCAAAAATTAAGAGAGAAAAATGTTTATTGATATCTCCTGTCTTGCTTACATGAAATACAATGTTCATTACTTTGGTTTGTCTATTAGAGTCATTGTATTTCATTTATTTCCTGCAGATAGAAATTTACATTGGTATAATATTTGAAATGTGTTAGTTGTGAGCAAACTGAATTCGCTTTGCTGCAGTAGATCATTAAGTACCCATTACTATTCATCACTTCTTTTAATGTATGGTTCATTTATGCTTTTAATGTTCAATTTCTTGGTAATTCTACAAGCAGAACGATTTCCTTTAACAACATCCTTGCAGACAGTATTAAAGTTTGTAGCTAAAGAAGAGGACTGAAAATGTTAACACAATTTTTAGTTTGGAAGTTACTAATAAAATTTGCTTCATGACTCCACTTATACAGTTTTCAACTACCTGCAGTTCTATTCTGACAATAGTTGTAGGTTTCCTGCATTACTGAATTTTTTATGCTATTTATTTTCCACTGTATTTAATGTTTATTAGCAGTAATACCCCAGAAATGATTTGTATTTGGAGCACACAACATGTAACATTGATAATTGCTTTGTTATATAACACATTGCAGCTTTGGAAAATAAACTACCAGTTTTTAAGTTTTGAAGTTTTCACAGTAGTGACTGTTAAGATCATGGTTTTCTGGGTTCTGGCACTGGTAGTCTTTTGGGCAGATATTGATGTTTCAAGGAAAATGCAGGCTCCATCTTCAGAGTTGAAACATGAAGGTTCCGAAATAGGCTTGATTGTATAGGAGGATGTTACATTGCTTCCCATTGGCTGGCACAGAGTTCCTTTTGTAACTTGCTCTGTCTGTGTCCACATACAGTTGACATACCTGAGTTAACCCTTTACAGCCCAGTGGTTAGTATATATACCAGCTGCTTTAACATAAACATTCTTAATTCTGCTCCAGAGTGTATATGTATGTTTAAAATGGTTCTTACAATCAACGGTGATTGGTTCATAAGCAGTATTAACCAGATTATTTTTGTAGTGGAGATATAATTTGTTACTTGTGAGATACAAACTGACTTTTTGTGTATTATTCAGAATATATTCAGATTCTAAAGGGTTAAGGTCTTTAAAGCCACCTTGTACAGATCTTGAAAGTGTGAAGGAACTTTTCTAGGTGAACAAATCTTGTGTGAGCCGGGAGAGCGTAGTCGGTATTGCGATTAACTACGGGCTGGAAGACCGTGAGGTTGGAGTTGGAGTCCTGGTAGGGTCAAGAATTTTCTCTTCTTCACGTCATCCAGACTGGCTCTGGGGTCCGCCCAACGATCTATCCAATGGGTACCAGGGGCTCTTTCCCGGAAGGTAAAGTGGCCGCAGTGTGAAGCTGACCACTCGCCTCCAACTAGTAATGAGGTCAAGAAAATGTGGATCTATATATCCACTCCCCCATATGCCTTCATGGTGTAGTGATTAAATAGTTAAGCACAGGGACAGCTATACCTTTTACAGAGCTTGTTTGCTTCTATAACAGATTTTAACCCACAATCCTGTTATAGTTCCAGACATACCAGGCTACACCCGAGGGCCACCGTGCACCACTGGCTGATCTTCTCAGGTCCACTCGCTCAGTGAACACTCAAACTCCAGCTGGTGGAGATTTCACTGGAAGCTCACAGTCTTCAGGTGACATATATTTGGATAGGGAGAGAGATACTCCACCTCTTGAAACAGCACATTGTCTGATGCAGCCATGGTGACTCCTTCCCTTGTGTAGAAATACCGTTATTCTCTATTTTTCTGTATGGCAGTGATGTTCACAATGTAAACTCACATATCAATGCAGAAATTCAGTGAAAATCCCAATTTTGATAGCTCTTAATGGTAGAACACATTTTCATTATTAAATGTCAATTTTATAACCCAGTACAAGGTTTGAAAGTGTGTGAATACCAGAAGAAGTTCTAACATGTGCATAAGGTATTATGATTTCCCCATGTAGACATATGCTAAGACAAAAGTGATTATAAAAACGAAAGATTCATATATTTCCAGTTTTATGAAATATGGGATTTTTTGGGTTGGAGTGACTACTATTCTGAACACTATGAAAATGATCGTTCCCCATGCTGTTAGAGATAAGCAACTTTGTTTTCCTAATTTCCATTTCGTTTTACTTCAGAATAGAATCAATCCCATTTGTAATCACTCACAAGATTTTAAATTGAATGTAGGCACGTCCCTTGTACAGCTCTGAAGGTGTCATGTGAATATATATAGACATTCAGTCACTAATATTATAAATACACAAGTTTTATTACCATGACTAGTATAAAGTCCATTGAAATTTCAGTAGGGAGATTTGGCAGTTCCCTCCTGTGCCTATGGTTTCTACAGATATCCCTTCAATTAATTTACTCTTATGCCTTATATCCATTGATATGTCATGATTTAACTTAATATATTTGCTGTGAACTCAGGAAGTTTTAGGAAGACATCTTGATAGAATAAGTGGGGCTGCTACTGGAGGTGACTTTGGTAGAAGTCAAGACTGATATCACCTGTAATATATGTACTGAACTGCTCTGAAACCAAAATGGGAAAATTCTACATTTTCCATTCCTAGCCATGGTTTCCATAAATATCCTTCTTATTGATCAAGTCTTATACAGTATAGCCCTGAGAGACAATTTAAAGCCACAACTCCACCTAATATGGATGCTGTGAACTTCAGTTCTGGAAAGACAACTGGCTATAGAGCAGTTGATGGTGCTACAAAGAGGTAACTATTCTTTGGCCAAGGTCAGGGGTGTAGTACTGGCATAAACATGGTTACCTCTATTACTGCCATCTTTATTTGTATTTGTAACCACTAACAACAATGAATACTGCATACTGCTGTAATAATGACAGAATAGCAAGCTAAGGTTTTTTATATATATAAAAGGTGGCCCAGGAAGAAAGGTCAGTATTCTGGGATGTCATTGTATCAGTCATTCTAAGCAAAAGAGTGTGAATGTACATGTGTCCTGTTCCGAATGGTTTCTGAGATAGAGCTAATTCACTGTACAGTAGTTTGTGTTTGGTGCTCAATGTTGTCCTTCCCTCTCACCATATTTTGCCATTGTCTGAAGCATGTGAATTGATGTGCAGCATCAGTTGGCTATTGTGACTGTTGATAGTGACATTGTAGGCGTGCTGTGAAAAATGCCCACATATTCACAGATGCTGAATATACTGATATGCTGTACATTTATGGCTTCTGCGATGGTGGTGCCACTGCTGCTGTTGAATACTATCGATGGTTTTCTGTACACAAAATTTTGGACCATAGAGTGTTTTTTCCAAGGTGTTCAGTACATTGTGTGAATGTGATACGCTTTCCAGTGTTCATGTTTCATCTGAACGAGCATACTAACTACATGTGGAGGAACAGGAAAATATTCTCTAAATGGTACAGCATAGCCCTTCTACTAGTACACAGAGATTTTCTACATGTCTTGGTGTTTCATGAACACATACGTGGTGAACATTGCATGATGACAGCTTGTATCTTATTCCCCCCCCCCACCTTTTGCAAAATGTACACCCAGGGGACAGTGCCATGCATCTAGAATTTTGTCACTGGTTACATACTCATCACCAGGTGCTTCCATTAATACTGTTCACTGATGAAGCTACTTTCACCTGTAGCAGAATCAACCACACATGTAACTCACATCGATGATCTCACAACAATCCACATAGTACTGTGTAAACAAATTTTTAACAACATTTCTCTATCAATGTGTGGTGTGATATGATTGATGACATGTTGATTGGTCCCATTATTTTAGGTGATTGTATGACAGAACATAATTACCTAGACTTTCTAAAAAATGATTACCAGAACCACTAGAGGATGTTCCTTCAGCTACATGGATTGCCATTACCCTCAGCATGATGGAGCCCCTTCTCATTATACCTGACTTGTGATGCAACAGCTCAGTGACACTTTCCCTAATCAGTGGATCAGCCATGGCAGTACTATTAACTAGCCACCAAGATCACCAGACTTAACCTTATCAGCTTTTGTTTGTGGGATTGGATGAAGAGTAAAGTGTACAGAAGAAAAATGGATACATGAGACAAAGTGCTTGTTTACATAATGGATCTTGGAAACCGTTCAGAACAGGACACATGTACATAAAAACTTTTTTTTTTAGAATGACTGATACTGTGATGTCCCAGATGATTGACCATTTCCTCCTGGAAATGGGAATGGCCTTCAGAGCTGCCATCATGTTACTCCTGATGTCATCAGTGTCATCAGAATGCCTTCACTTCAATATTCTCTTTATCTTTGGGAACAGAGAAAAGTCTTTGGGGCTAGATCCAATGAATAGGGAGGGTGTTACAGCACAGTTATTTGTTTACTAGCTAAAAACTCCCTTGCAGACAATGCCGTGTGAGCGGGTGCATTGTTGTGATGCAAGATCCATCAGTTGTTGGCAAAAAGTTTTGGTCATTTCTGTCTGACTTTTTCACGCAGCCTTTTCAGTACTTCCAAATAGTAAACTTGGTTGACCGTTTGTCCAGGTGGTACAAACTCATAATGAACAATCCCTCTAATATTAAAGAAAGATTAGCAACATTGTTTTGACTTTTGATTTGGACTGACAGAACTTTTTTGGTTTTGGAGAATCGGCAGTCTTCCATTATGCACTTGCCTCTTGGATTCAGGGTCATATTGGTAGACACATGTTTCATCACCTGTGATGACATGGCCAAAAATGTCATCTTGCCTCTCCAAAAGGTCTTGGCAAATTTTGTCTCTTAGCTTGTGTTCTTCAGTGAGCGCCTTCGGGACCATTTTTGCACACGCCTTCCTCATGTCAAGATCTTCAGTTAAGATTTTCCTGATGGTTTCCCCATCAATGTTTGCTTGCTCTGCTATGCTCCTGACAGTCAGCTGATGATTTTCACGCACAATTTGACAAACTTTTGCAACATTTTCTTCAGTTCTGCTTGTTGTTGGCCATCCTGATCTCTCTGTTGGTGACACTTTTTCTTCCTTTAGAAAAACTTGTCACCTCCTTGTAAACTGCTGTTTTCTTCATGGCATTATCCCTGTAAACTTGCACTAACATCTCTCTGATTTCACTTCCACTCTTTCAAAATTTAACAAGAAATTTAATGTTTGTTGCTCTAATTCAAGCTCCAACATTCTTGCGACAGCACACCAAAACACACTCAGATAATAATGGACCCCACTCAGAAAGAGACTGACATAGATCAACAACAACATAGTTGTGAAATGCTGATATGCTAACATAATCAAACCATGTTGCCATGGCAATCATACGGTGGCAAGTTTGCGAACTATTGTCAGACCTTGTGTGTACTGCATATCTTAACTCTGACTCAGGAGTGCCTTGGAAAGGTATGCAAAACAGTGATAGTTTCTATATTTATGTTGGTTTAACCTCAAAATTTGTTATTAGATCTCCTTTTCTTTCTGTACTAGAGGACACTGATAGGGTAAGGAATACATTGCATCAAGGTCTGCCATGCTCAGCTGAGTGATGTGTGTTGGCTGTTCAAACCTCAGCAAGTTTTCACAAAGGTTCAAGGGATGGTTCATATAAAATTCAGTTTGTTCATCCATTGCCTTAAGTATCGAGATGGAATTGCATCTTTCAGTTCTTGTAGACAGACCATGGAAGTTTCAGGTGAGATGCTGAGTGCTTTGCTAATGTAAAATAGGGGCTACTATCACCAGAGTGGATATGTTATGAGACAGAACTTCTGTTACTGGGCTGAAGGGAATATACTCATATATAGCTGCAGCAACAGCCTCTTTGCGGCAGTAAAGCACCATTTGGAGTCATCGAGCCGTACATGTTTAAAGAAAAAATCAAACCATAACAGTTAATTCTGATTGATGTGCAAGTATGCATTGCCGGAAAGCTTTATAACTGAAGAACTGCTCAGATGGAGTATGATTTCAATAAGATGGCATAAATGACAAGACAAACTGTGAGTATTTCCAGGGTGCTTGATTGTTAGGTCTGGGGACATTACATGACTTGCAAGGCCTCCTAATAATCATTCCTAACTCTTTTCTTTGAGGTTTTCCCAGGGAGATTTTACACTTTTAGTGGGCTCTTGTAAACATGGATAGACTTTTAATGAAATAGTGTGTTATCAAGTACAAATATTCATTACTTATTTCAAATTAAAGGCTATGTGAATTCTTATGGTTGTTCAATATATAATTATGTGAATTACATGTTAATTTAGTATGAACGCTTATGGATTTGGTACCATAGTTTTTATTTTAACTTGTATTTCTCTCACACTTAGGACCTCCATCTCGTGAGTCATTTTCCCCTCTCATTCCTGGTGTAATGGATATTTCTAGACCTCCAAGTGATCTTCAGGGTAGGTACAATATTTGTTTCCGAGCTAATTAATATGCCTACACCTAATTCTGAGAGAGTTTAATCCAATGGATAATGATTAAAACTTCAGATATCAACTGATATTTGTACTGTTTCTTTTAAGCAACAAGACACTATATGCTAAACCAATTATCCATACAGTTCTAAGTAAAAGTGTGTGAGCTTTCCCCAAACATACAACTGAAGCTCGTTAACTTCCAAAGAAACTACAAAATTTTGATGCAGCACAAAAAGAATAACTAGTAACCACTTCCAACTGACATCAGATGAACAAAGAATGAGCCAACATCTGCACTTCATTGCATGCCTTGGAAGGGTGGCCACATAAAGGTTGGAACTAACTACATGGAGCTGAGCCCTTCTTGAGAAGCTTCCAGTCATGCAGCTACTCAAGAACTTCCCAATAATTTATGGAACCTGAAGGTTCAGTACCATGTTCACAAGAGCTACAAATTGGAATGCTAAAATGAGATCCATATGAATCATTATTTTGTATGTAAGATGCAGATAAACCCTTAAATCAAGTAAAATATATCTTAGGCATATAGAGCTTTGTCTGCGACCAAAAAAAGTGTACCTTTAATATGACAAAACATAAAATGTGGGTTCTTTAAATTGAGATTTCATGGTATATGTTTACTGTTTTGTTACACAATTATCATGTCTATTAATTATATAAGATGTAGTCAATACTTGTGGTCAGGAGATTAAATCACTGTCCACTATTCACTATCTAGTTTGTTTCATGTAACTTCCTACATATCTTTCTTGGACTGTACCAAATGTTTATAATTTTCTGTTATATCGTATTTTATTTTTGACCCAACAATGGAGGTCCATAGTCAAACTTGCCATCATTTAATGAGCTGATGTAGCTCAGTCAGTGAAGTGACTGGATGCAAGCCAGATGGCCTGGGTTTGATTCACAGCAGGGGGGTAGTTATTGTTTTGCTGAGTGGTCATAATGACAATTGTGTTGTTAAATATTTCATGCCCTGTCTTAATTCTGAATACTTGCAATTATAAGAGTTCATATATTTAGAGAAGTCAGAAATTATCCGCACTCTTGTTTCTCCAATTTATATACACGAAAGTAGGGGTTGAACAAGTATGTCATTTTTCTACATAGTCTCATTCCTTATCAATGCACTTGGTCCAGCGGTCCACAAGCTTGCGTATGCCCTCCAAGAAGAAGGTTTTTCTTCGGTTATGCAACCATTTATGCACCGCTTCTTTGTCTGTAGAAAATTGATGACCTCGTAAAGCATCTTTGAGCAGTCCAAAGAGATGATAGTTGGAAGGGGCAAGATGTGGGCTGTAGGCAGAGTGTTCCAGCGCCTTGAAACCCAAATTGTTAGTGGTTTCAACAGTCTGGCCAGCCATGTGTGGGCATGCATTGTCATGCAGCAACAACACTTTCTTCGACAATAGGCCTCAGTGTTTGGTGCGAATTGCTGGCCAGCAAATCACTGTATCCTGCACTATTGATCGTACACCCTTTTTCCAGATAGTCTTCCAGTATAGGCCCTTTTGAGTCCCAAAAAACGGTTAGCATCACCTTTCCTGCAGAAGATTGAGTCTTGAATTTCTTGTTTGGCCACTTTTAAACTTCTTGATCCACTCAAACACACTTCTATGCAGTAGAGCCCTGTCCCCATATTGTGTTGAAAGCCTCCAGTGAATTTCAGCCCCTGACACACCTTCCAAGCAGAGAAATCCGATCACTGTTCTTTGTTCCTCCTTGGTGCACACTGCTAGCGGAGTGGCCATGTTTACACTGTCACAGCATCAAGGAAAATGACACGATCAAGATCAAACTTTGATCAAGTGACCACAGTAGTACGAACTCTAGGCATGCATGCATAGAAGGCAATGTGACAAACCTAAAGATGTGTTATATCGAAAGTGTGGATAATTTCTGACTTTCCCACATACATAATAAAAGGATAGGGCATGAGGGCCACCCATATTAGCATCTGAAATCAACGGAACTGGTTGGTGCAACTGTAAAAGTGTATTTTTATTCAGGGGGCATATATTTTAAATCTCAGTCAGGGCATCAGCTGTCCTGATGTGGTTTGTCACTGTCTCCTCAGTCCTTCCAAGCAAATGCCAGGACTGTACCTTGATTTAGTCATGATTACTACTTTCCACTTTATTGATCATCCTACTGTTCTATGCTATATATTCTAGATACTGACCACTGTTAAATAAACGAGAGAAAAATCTGAAATCTAGGCACAGAAATGCATATTGATTTACAGGTATTCAGTGGCCTTTACTCCCACTCTTTTGTAACGGGTCAGACATTTGTGAAAATCTTGTTTCCAGACAAATATTTGATCATCGGAAAAATTAATCAAATATATTAGTCTTAATGACTGAGTGAGATCATCAGAATTCAAAACACCATCTTCTGAACACAGAGTGAAAATTTTGTTGCAGTCCTTTTGGGGAGTTGGAGGGGCTGCTAGTGGTGACCAGACAGTGTTTTTCAGCCCCCAGTCTGTAATGTATTTTATGTATACAGGTGGCAGCAGGGGTTCATCACCTGACCAAGAGACTGGTAAACTGGGGACTTCACCACACATCAACAAGTTCCTTGCTAGAGAACCACCTGATGGGTGTGAGAAAGTTAATCTAAAGTTTGTGGAAGACACCAGGTAATTCTCTTTGTTCAATGGCTTTAGTAGTTTTGTGATAGGATAACAGTAAGTCTGAGAACCAACATCTTGGTTTTCAGGAGACCAATGATAGACCTGAGCAAATTGGACTACTGTCCTCTGAAACCTAATGTGACGTTCCAGTTGAAACCCAGTCTTGGGTCAGCATTTCTCCCACTTCAGCAGCCAGCCCGGATGATGATGGATGAAGCCAGTGGGATAATTAATGGGGAAGTGAGTCCCACCTCTGCAGCTGTTGACACTCCCAATAGTAATAATGTACAACAACCACCACCACCACCATCACCATCACCACCACCAACACCACCGCCACCACCACCACCATTAGTGCCACAACTTCAGGGAATGGGTATCGACAGTTGTGCCACCCATACTCCCGCCCCCTGTAGCAATGACCACAGTAGTGACCACACAGGGATATAATAGTAATCAGTTATAACTAATTGTTAGAAAGTACTGTTCTGTTGCTGGAGGTGTCTGATGTTCTAGCTTCCTCGACTTCTTAATATAAAGTTATGCTGGTATGGGAGAGTCATAGTGTGTTACAGGGGCAAAAGCTTTTCTCTTTCAAATGGAAGGCACCAAGATCTCGTGTGGCATAGTTCAGCATTGACACACGAGAACTCTCTTGGCTTCATCACCACCACACAATATTTGCTAACAAGAGAAAAAATTTGAGAGCAAGAAAACTAGAATGTAAAGAGACTTTTACCAGTTATAAACGTTCAGTTGATCAGTTTAGTTCTGATAACAAGAAGGACAAAACAATAGTCCAGATGCATTCATCTTTGCAGATAATGACATTGTTTGCAACCCTTACATGACGCCAACTGATGGTACTTCAGTTACAGAATACTTTGCAAATGTTGTATAGTACGGTGTATAACATTACAGCTCAGTTTCAGTTACTGTTTGTTTTGTGTCAGCTTTCTTTGAATGTGTCTTAAGTGTACTGTTCTTAACAGTTTACGTATTGAATGTCATATTAATATGTTGCTTATTATACATTATTCTGCAGTTCTGTGTAGACAGTGGAATTTATTTTTGTTTATGCATCAGTGATTTGGCATTAGACGCCATCACATATAAAAATGGTAGTTCAGCCATAAATTCAAAGCCAAAAAATAATATGTATAAAATATATTTTATTTAGTTTTACTTTATTTCATTTATTTACTAACAAGTTTAGTAGAGAATTTTCTTTGGTCAGTGACCAATAATGTAATATAAATTTAAGGGTTAGCATGAAATAAAATCCATTTACCAGCAGACTTTTATACTGCCAGGGTCCTAGGGTTCCTGTTGCCCTTAATTTTATATTCCTTTAACATATAGATGTTTTCCTTTCTATTTTGTGACCAATACTGGTGCAACTAGGTGGGGGTGTTGAGTGTGGGGTCTTGGGTTGAAGCCTAGCTGCAGACTGAGCTGGAATATTGTATCCAAATATTTTAAGATGAAATTAGGAATACTGAATGACTCAGAAGCGTGTAATATATAAGCAACACCAAGTCAGCAGGTAGCTGGGTTATTGAGTTAACAGTCCTTAACTGAAATTGAAAGTATAAATAAGCTGCATAGAAAAATCTGGGAATTGTTTCATGCATTTACAAGAGAATGATTTGGTGTATGATTTTTTATTAATTATGTTATAATATGAGACAATTTTAAGACGAGCGAACAGAAGCTTTGAAATTTGGAAAAGGGGGCTGGAGTGAAATTGAACATTATAGGAGTTGTGTATAATAATTTCAAATTGAAGATGCAATTTGCTGTGCATTCTGTGGTAACTGAACGGAGATGACTAATAGTATCTTACTTTCCATTTCTTGTGTGAGGTTGTTAGCTCACTTCCCAGTTACCCAATCCCCATCATTCGCCACTCATTTTCGAGTAGCTCAGTTTTGTTTTTCCACCTTAACAGAATTAGGGGGGAAAATGGATCAAGTACAAAAGTTCTTATAAGGCTGATTGTTTGCATTTGTAAGGGACTACAGTATATATTTAAACAAAATGGCTACTGAATTGGAAAATGTGAATTTTTTTTAGAATCTGAAGAAGTGTCAGGGAGTGTGTTAATATTTTATCATCTATAGACCATGGTGTGTTTGTTGTGATTGTGAGTTGTTTTTCCTCCACAATTTTGTATGTGAACATAGTAAGGCTGTAAATTATCGGTATCTTTTGTGACTTTCCTTTTAAGATTGAAAATCAAAGTTTGGGAAAAATGTTCTCAGGCTTCAGTGTTAGGGTGTAGTATGTGAACACTCCTACTGTTTAATCCCATGAGCTGTGAGTTGCAAGAATAGTAATAGGCTTCGCTGTTGATTTTGGCACAGTTTTCATTAAAACTATCGAAGTCTTGCAATGACTGAAGTCCAGTTTATGATTGCGTTCATCATTAACCTTATGGAAACTTGTAACTTGGCATACTTCAGTGGTCTGATATGTGGGAGTGCTGTTATGATTACAGGTGCATTATATGGTTCTTGTCTAATAAAATCACAAATTACCTGTTAGTATAAATACATTTGTTTTTAATAGATAGTAAAATGTTCAACATTGCAAATGAGCATTTTCATTTTTTCACTGATTTATGTTGAATTATTCATGTTGATAAAATTTTGAAAACATGGGCTAAAGAACAAGAAATGTATATGGCATTTATTTGCTGTAATGTTGGTTTCTTTGGAACGTAACTCACACTTCATGGGTTTAAGATCAATAAAGGAGAATGACAGTAGTCACTGTGTTATGTTGGTAATTTACAAGAATATGGCACAGAACAGTACAAATCCACTTGACTCGGCTTCATCTTTAACTGCCCTTGCTTCTCCAGTTGGAATAATATGATTTTTTTAATCATTATCTGGAAAAAATTTTAATGTTCATGGTAAAGACTGAAGAAAAACATTAAAAGCCTCAAGTTAATTCTGTTTTGGAAATAAAGCGTTAGTCATTACTGTTGATAGATCTGTTTTAATGTTGCAGCTCTGTTAATTCTGTTGCTTGAAATTGTCGTCTAACTGGTAACAAACTCAAAAGTAGAGGTCCCTCAAAATATATTTTCCCATTTCCGTCCCTCATCCGATCAATTGTATAACTGTAAGTTTAAAAAGTGTACAGTAAAGAGAAATGTGAATCCCATGATAACTTTTAAAGTAAACTTAAAAAAATAGCCCTTGATTATTACGCTTAATCTGTGCAGGAATTAACATTATGTTAAGAAAGGAAAAGAACCACATTGTAAAATGGTTTTCATTTCTTTGAAAGGCTCTGAGAGACGAACAAAAATTGAAACAAAGATAGCTTCGGCAATGAACAAATATATGAGAGCAGTAGTATACTCCATGCTTAAGGGTCCAGATTCATAATTATAAATATTTTTATAGTTGTTCAACAATCCTCAGAACTAACTTTTGTAGAGAAAGTGACAAGTTAACTGTAACCAAAGTTTTGTGTTTATGGCAGCTTAAGTTAACTGTCATCTCCTGATATTTGTCCATGAATTTCATTTCTGTGTATCATGTGTTTTGTCAGCAAGAAGCAGTGTTTATAAGGCAGTGTAATGGATTTAAATACAAAAAAAAAATTGTTTATTTGAAAAGTACATGGAACATTGTGTGAAAGGTGATAAAGTAATTAACTTTAAATTGAGCATATGGCATCATTCACTGCAAATAATGTTTCAGTGTACAGTATTTGTCAAGTATGAAGTAACATTTCTTGGCCAAGCATATTAATAATGAGATCAGTATTGTTGGACTTTTGTATTATCAGTGTATTCTGCCTTATAAATTGTCATCCTAATGGAGACATTTGTTGGTACTCTTGGCCATAATTTATATTCACTATGGGATTAGCTTTGTGAAGATCACTGCTGCTTCGCTAGAAAGAATGATTATGGCAGATAATAGACTGGTGAAAGTAGGGACATCTATCAGGATTTTATGTGATGGTTTGAAACATAATATAGATTAGTTGCCTTTGCTGACAAGACAGGTAGTGACGAACACTGGTTGGGTGTCTTGCATAATGCTTTGTTTTCGGGAGGCTCCAGGTTCTGATCTTAACCCGGAGACTGGATAGCCTGAGGTTTCTGTTATTTGCCTCAGTCCCTCCAGGCAAATGCTGGGATAGTGCCTCAAATTAGGGCACTGCTGGTTTCTTCCACATATTTTCCAGTTCATATTCTGTAATCACCTTGCCATTTGACACTTTGTAGTCTCCGCTGCTGACAGCTCATTAAATAAACCATAAACAAAATAAGTAATGGCTGTAATTAGAATTTATTTTCAGTTATTTACCTTCCACCATACAACAGTATTAAGGTGTAAAATCTGTCACTGCGCCACACGTTTCAGTGTTCCAGGCCATCATTAGGTGTGTTAAAATTTGGGGAACTGATGTGCCTTCTGTGCTACTGTGACCAGTGTTTTCATATTTAGAGTGTTTTTAAATGGAGTCAGTGTAGTTCCTCCTTCAATGCCACGTGTATTGTCTTTCTTAGTATGCCTGTTGCCTGTCAGATGTGCAGTGCAATGTTTTTTCAAGACACCTGGTGATTGCTGAGTAGGCCAAAATGTAGTGCAGTGACCAATTTTTTTTAAATCTTGATATTGTTGCATGGTGGATGGTAAACAACTGAAAATAAATTATGGTGCAACTACAACAGGATGCTAAGATACAAGGTTATGGGCTCTAGTTATTGTGTTTATGTGGTATATATAACATAACACTTTTATTATTTTTATAAATCTGTGGATGATTCCAATGGCTTTGTATTTTTAATTAACTTAACTGCATCATGAAACTTTTTCGTACGTATTGACTTTATCACCAGCAGGTTTTACCAAAATGAAGCCATACTCTTAAACCATAGTAAATACCAATCCTGGTTAGAAATTTCTCCAGAAGATCCCAGTATAATATGTGTAAGGACAATAGGAGGCCATGGTAGTGTGAAGAAAATGTTGCAACTTGATGAAACAGTAAGACGAGTGAATATACTGTGTGCCTTTGGCAATAAAGGCCAGTGTCACAATGCTGCATGTATGCACTTCTCACATGAGGAAGGTATGGCTGAATGGACACAGGTTAGACTGATTACTGAGCCTTAAGTGCTGTGTACTCTAGTCCTGTATTTGTTCATTGCACGAAGGTGAGGCGAGGAGGAGGGCAGGGTGGGTCCCTTGATATCATGTTGTGCTCAGCTCAGTTTGTTTCCGTTGAGACATGAATGAGGAAACACGAGTGCTTAACACCTGCAATCATGCATTCCAATGACTTCATTAGTGTTACTGTTTTGCTGTAATTGAATTTGTTCTTATGGTTTCAGTAGCAACAAAATTATACTTACCTGTATTGTTACCCATTTGAATGTGTGACTTATGTTCCAGATTATAGTGATTGTTTACATTAAATGTTAAAGAGATAAATGAATATGAATAGCATTGTGTATGGAAACTTTTTTTATAGTGGGGTGGGACTAAGTCCCTTGTGCTGTGGCCACTTCAGGCCTATTATACCAGCCCCAGATGATAGGTGAGGGTGATTGATTGTGGAGCAATTGGTGGAATGAAGATTGGCAGGGGAAACCGAAGTCCTCAGAGAAAACCTGCCCCAGTGCCATTTTGTCCACCACAAATCCCACTTGACCAGACCCGGGATCAAACCCGGGCCGCCTCAGTGGGAAGCCAGCGACTAACCACTTGAGCTATGGCGCAAATTTGTGGTTAGTTATGTGATTTACTGAGAAGTAAAAATATTTTTATGATTATATTTGTTTAATTGTATTCAGACAACTTATTTATGAGTGTTTCATCATGAATCAAAGTTATTCACTGAGAATACAAGTGTTTGTGGTATTCTATACTCTTTAGGCTGTCATTACCCTTATTTGGTTCATAAACTCCTCAGTTGGTTGAACTGTTGAAACTCTACAGATAAAGTTAGAGGATCTTTGAAAGTTCGTGGATGCAATTATAGCTCATTTGAAATTGAGGTTTTGAACTCTTGACAGTGTGTTGATGAAATTGTGACACTCCTCACTACATACATTAAATTAAATCACAGTACTCTTCAAAATATGGGATCTACATTGTCATGACATTCTTAAACAGTGAACATAAGGCTGAAGTCATGGTGCTGTTGACCTTGTGTAGGTAACATCACCGTGCTCTTGACAGAGCATAGATATACTTTGCAACATCATGTAGGAAGTCAGTTGATAAGTAGTTGTGTTACCTGCAAATGGTATAGATTATGAATGGAAAGTCGAACCTGGATTCTAAGTTGACAGAAGATGAGGCTTATGTTGGATATAACTGGTATGGGAATATGCACTTTATGCAGTACACGTACTGGGGTATGAAGCTTATCAGTTTACTTTCACCTGATGCTGAAGTCAAGAATGCATGGAGTATACCTCCATTCTCCTATACATGTTTAAAGGTATGGTGCTTAATTAAGCACAGGAAGGACTTTCTTACTGTGGAAATAATTAGCCTCTGTTGTAAAAGTGGTCTGCTTAATTATTCTGGTAGCTTGGAACTTGGAAGTGGAATCATGCTTCCCATTGTTACTGATCTTAAAATCATAGTTGACACTCTTAAAAATAAGTAGAATAATGGGAACTAAGCAGAGATAGCTGTGTCAGAAATATCCTCAAATATATTCACTTACCCAAGTTAGATATGTTGAATTGTGGGCTGTGGATACCACAAAATACTTCCTGTATTGCAGAAAATGTGCTGGTATCTTGCCACCCAAACTTTGACACCCATCTGAGTCCTGTGCCTTGCCCTTTATGTGTTACAGTTGTGTGTTCATCACCACCATTTCCACTTTTGCTGTTGCTAATTATGTGTGTTTTTGGAATCACTGATTTGGTGTAATCATCATCATCATCTGAAACTTCACTTACAACTACATGGCTGGTTTGAAGCCCATATATGTTGATTTCAATCTCAGATGGTTAAATTAGAGTATTAGGCAGCTGCACAATAACTAAGGCCATTGATACATAAACAGAGGGTTTGTGTATTTCATCATTGCTTTATGAAAACTCTATCTCAACATATTATTTCATTCTTCAGCTAGAGTGCTAAAAATGAAGCATACAATAGAATGTACAGTATATGTGAAACCATAAATAGGGTATTTAAGTAGACACCATATGTAAAATCATTCGAAAAGACCGATAAGAANGATCTCAACATATTATTTCATTCTTCAGCTAGAGTGCTAAAAAATGAAGCCTACAATAGAATGTACAGTATATGTGAAACCATAAATAGGGTAGTTAAGTAGACACCATATGTAAAATCATTCGAAAAGACCGATAAGAAAAATGAAAATGCGTTTTATGATCAGTTCATAATATGTGAAATGTGCATTGTTAATCATCAGTATAGTGATTCAGTGTTCTTGGTCTGTTTTTGCTGTCTAGGATGTGGTGTCTTCTACGCGAACCCTCACTTATACAGTTCTTTTGTGAACAGTGAAAGTGTCGTGTTCTACATATCTTGTAATGTCATCTGTGGACTGCTTATCTCGTGACCATGTTTTGTTGCTCATAATTTGTCTCTCCAGTTCTTGTTCATCATTGCATCTGGCAGTTAGGTCTTCCCTTGTAGCCTCTTGTTCTTTTCTTTAAAACACTGGTCAGTTACATTTTTCAGTAGATGGTGACAATATGCTATATCTAAGTTCCTCCAGTAGTAGGCTGTCCTTTGCCATTACTTATGACAAATGCAGTAGTATGTGTCTCAGAATTTGCAAGACTTTCTTTATGCATATGGCTATCACACTTTCCAACATAATGAAATACCTTTATAGTAGGTTGAACCTATCAGCTGCAGTCATAGGTCAGTTCTGTGACTGTTTTCAGTGTGAACAGCTTCTTTGCAGCGAAGATTTCTGTCTTCTGGGATATAACACCTTGTATCATGTTGCAAGTCAACCAGTCTCTTGGGGAAAGATATCACCTCCATCTTCAGGGTTGAAGAGTAAGCGAAGAAGTAAGAAACCAGCATGAACCAGGTAGCAGGCACAGTGACGTTTGACTTCAGTGGACAGTCCAGCGCTATATCCCAGAAGATAGAACTCTTCGAAATCACTGCTGTGAGAGTGTCAGATCCTACACAACCCCTTTGCAGTGTTCTGGTGAAATTATCCTGTGCATGTTATTACTCACGTGTCTGTATGTTGAATTGTCATTAATTGTAGGATCTACCTTGTTCAGTTACTTTACTCTGGCATCCAATTTCTTTGTCTAAATTTGGAAGGAAAATATAATTTTCGTAACAAAAAATGTGGGTGAATTCTATTTTCATTAGTTGTATCCTGTTTGTGTGAACATTGATTCAGAGTTTGTGTTATTGGTCATCCACTGAGGATATCTTTTATAAAACTGAAACATGTAGTGGATTAAATATTAATGAAGTAAATTATTAATACTGTATTGCTTTGTGACATATATATTGAAGTTACGTCATGAGCAAAACCGTCTTTGATTTATTCATGCCAGCTTACCACTAAGGTTTTTGTTTTGGCTCATAATCTGGACAATTATCTGAATCATCTGGCCCTGCTAATTGCATCAGTTTCTATT